AGGGCACCGGTAATTGCAGGGGCTCCACCAAAGCCTAGGAACCAACTTGGTGAGGGACTCATCTCTCATATTCCATTTCCCCTCCCCCGAGAACTGCTGGGTATGCACTGAAATACAAAAGAAACATGTGGCTAAGAGCCTACCTACTGGCCCTACTCTTAAGCATTGTCTACAATATCACAGCATGAATGACACCACTAAACAAAAATTCTTTCAGCACAATTGAATGCCTGTGAAACTCAACATGGGAAACTATCCACGATTAAGGAAACTGTACAGAACCTTGACCCTCTGCAAAAACTCAGAAACAAAGCCAGCTGACTACCCACAATATACACTGCTGTCAAATCCTCAAGGTTAAAAAAATGAAAATGAAAATAAACGGTCCTGTCTATGTGAAATTTCAAAAAGAAAAAGAAACACCAGACCCCTCAGATGAATAGGAATCAGTGCAAGAACTCTGGCAATTCAAAAAGTCAGAGTGTTTCCTTACCTATAAAAGATTATATTTGCTCCCTAATAATGGATAGTAATAAGATTGAAATGTCTGAAATGGCAAACACAGAATTCAGAATTTGGATGTCAAGAAAGCTCAACAAGATTCAAAACAAGGTTGAAATTCAATCCAAAGGACAGATACCGTCCAGAGGTATAAAGCTGAGACCTGCGGCCTGAGCTCAAGATGGGGAGAAGCCCCTATTCATAGTACATCAAGCAGAGCGTAGCATGGGTTGGTGCAGAAAAAGGATTGAAGACTTGAAAAAGGACATCATCATTTTAAGAAAGAACCAAACAGAACTTCTGGAATTGAGAAATTTGGTACAGGAATTTCAAAACAGAATTGGTAGCCCTAACAATAGACTAGACCAAGCTGAGGAAAGAATTACAGAACTAAAGACTGGTCCTTAAAATCAACTCAGTCTGACAAAAATAAAGAAAAAGAACAAAGTATTCAAGAAATATAAGATTATGTAAAGAGACCAAACACATGACTCATTGACATTCCTGAAAGAGAAGGAAGAGAGTAAGCAAATTGGAAAGCATGTTTGAGGATATAATCCACAACATTTTTTCCAATCTCACTGGAGAGGTGACATGCAAATTCAAGAAATTTAGAGAACCCCTGTGAGATACTATATAAGAAGACAGTCCTTAAGACACATTCACCAAGGTCAGTGCAAATGCAAAAATCTTAAAGGCAGCGAGACAAAAGGGTCAGATCATATATGAAGGGAACACTAACTGGCTAACAGTGAATTTCCCAGAAGAAACCTTACAATCTAGAAGAGATTGGGTACCATTTTCAGCATTCTTAGAGAAAAGAAATTTTAACCAAGAACTTCATAACCCATCAAACTAAGCTTCAGAAGTGAAGGAGTGAAAAAAATATTTTCCAGACAAGCAATCAGTAGTGGAATTTGCTACTACTAGACGAGCCTTACAAGAGTTCTTTAAGGGAGTTCTAAACATGGAAACAAAAGAAAGATATCTGCTACCACAAAAACACTCTTGAGTGTATAGCCCACTGGCACTCCAAAGCAACTACACAATCGAGATTACAAAGAAAACAGCTAACAACACTATGATAAGATGAAAACCTCATACATCAAAAGTAACCTTAAATAATCTAGACACTCCACTTAAAAGGCACATAGTGGGGCCAGGCGCAGTGGCTCAGGGCCGGGCACGGTGGCTCACACCTGTAATCCCAGCACTTTGGGAGGCCGAGGCGGGTGGATCACGAGGTCAAGAGATCCACACCATCCTGGTCAACATGGTGAAACCCCGTCTCTACTAAAAATACAAAAAATTAGCTGGGCACAGTGGGGCGTTCCTGTAATCCCAGCTACTCAGGAGGCTGAGGCAGAAGAATTGCCTGAACCCAGGAGGCGGAGGTTGCAGTGAGCCGAGATCATGCCACTGCACTCCAGCCTGGGTAACAAGAGTGAAACTCCATCTCAAAAAAAAAAAAAAAAAAAAAAAGGCACATAGTGACAAGTTGGATAAAAAAAAGAAAAAAAAAAAAGAGCCAACCTTCTACTACATCTCACATGTAGTGACACCCATAGGCTCAAAGAAGCAATGAAAACAGAAATCATGCAAACAGAAAACAAAAATGTACATAGGTCACTATTCTTATAACAAATAAAACAAACTTTAAGTCAACCACAGTAACAACAACAAAAAGGGACAAAAAGGTCATTACATATTAATAAAGCGTTCCATTCAACAAGAAGACCTAACTATCCTAAATATGTACTTAACTAACACTGGAATACACAGATTTATAAAAGAAGTTAAAAAGACTTAGGCAGCCACATAAAAATAGTGGGAGACTCAACACACCACTGACATTGTTAGATCATTGAGGCAGAAAACAAATTTTGAACCTAAATTAACCACTTCACCAATGGACCTAATACGCATCTACAGAATAATTCACCCAAAAAACACAGAATATACATTTTTCTCATCTGCACGTGGTTCATATATTAAGATCAACCATGTGCTGGGTCATAAAGGAAGTCTTGATAAGTTTTAGAAAAACCAAAATCATACTAAGCATATTCTCAAACCACACTGGAATAAAAATAAAGATCAATGCCAAAAGGATCTCAAGATCACACCATTACATGGAAACTAAACAACTTCCTCCTAAACGACTTTTGGTAAACAACAAAATTAAGGCAGAATTTAAAATTCTTTGAAGTAAAGGAAAACGGAGATAAAACATACTAACATTTCTGAGATGCAGCAAAAGTAATGTTAAGAGGAAAGTTTATAATGCTAACTGCTTATATCGAGATGTGAGAAAGATTGCAAATTAACAATCAAATATCACACCTATAAAAACTAGTAAAACAACACTATTTCTATCAAACTGTCAATGCCATCTTTCACAGAATTAGAAAAGTATATTCTAAAATTCATGTGGAACAAAGAAGACTCCAAATAGCCAGGGTGATCTAAGCAAACAAACAAGCAAGCAGATAAAGCTGGAGGTGTGCTGTTACCTGACTTCAAACAGTTCCACAGGTCTGCAGTGACCAAAACAGCATAATACTGGTACAAAACAGAAACACAGACCAATGGAACAGAATAGAGAACCCAGGAATAGAGTCACACTTTAACAGCCAACTGATCTTTGACAAAGTCAGCAAAAATAAGCAATGGAGAAAGACTCCCTATTCAATAAATAGTGCTGCAAAAACTGGCTATCCTATGCAGAAGCATGAAACTTGACCCCTACGTATCACCAGATACAGAAATTTACTCAAGGTGGATTAAAGACTTAAATTTGGTACCTGAAACTATAAAAAAAATCCTAGAAGAAAATCTAGGAAATACCATTCTGGACAGTAAGTAGCTTTGGGAAGGAATTTATAACTAAGTCTTCAAAAGCAATTGCAACAAAAACAAAAATTGACAAGTGAGACCAAATTAAACCAAAGAGCTTCTGCACAGCAAAAGAAACATCTATCAACAGAAACTATAAACAGACAATCTATAGGATGGGAGAAAATGTTCACAAACTATGCCTCTGACAAGTATCTAACATTGAGAATTTATAGGGAATTTAAACAAATCAATATCAAAAAAGAAATAATCCAATTAAAAAGTAAGTAAAGTAGTAATACATAAAATCTCTTATTTTTTTTTTTAAAAAGGGAGCAAAGGACATAGACACATGTCAAAAGAAGACATACAGGCAGCCAACAAACATGAAAAAATGGTGTACATCACTAATTATCAGAGAAATAAAAATCAAAGCCACAATGAGATACCATCTCACATCCAGTTCAGAATGACAATGATTGAAAAGTCAAAAAACAACAGATGCTGTTGACTTTGGAGAGAAAATGTAATGCTTATACACTGTTGGTAGGAATGTAAATTAGTTCAGCCACTGCAGAAAGCAGTTTAGAGATTCCTCAGAGAACTGAAAATAGGACAATCCCATTACTGCATCTAAAGAAAAATAATTATATCAAAAATACATCTGCATTCCTCCATTCATCACAGTACTACTCACAATAGCAAAAGTCATGAAATCAACCTAGGTGCCCATTGATAGTGAATAAAGAAAATGTGGTACATATACACCATGGAATACTATGTAGCCATCAAAAAAGAAAAAAATCATGTCATCTGCAGTAACATGGGTGCAGCTGAAAGCCATGCCTAATACCACATGTCCTGATGTATAAGTAGGAGCTAAACATTGGGGACACATGGACTTAAAGATGAGAACAATAGACACTGGAAAATACAAGAGCAGGGAGGGAGAGGGGCAAGGTTTGAAAAGTATTTATTGGGTAATAAGCTTGCTACCTGGGTGATGGGTTCATCTGTACATCAAACCTCAACATTACATGAAGTACCCCGTAACAAACCTTCACATGTACCCCTGGAACCTAAAATAAAAGTTGAAATTAAAAAAAATTATCAGAGAATGGAAATAAGATAAAATATATTTAAATGAGAAAACTAACATTTTAAAGTAAATTTTGATTGTTGCATCCAGCTTGTAAGTATTGAAGAGCTGTAAGTTACCTAGTTCTACACAAAGCTCAGTGAATAAAAAGCATAAAGCAAAGCAGAAATTTTCAATCTATCAGAAAAAAAGATGCATTCAAAATGCCATGTGCGAAGTGTATGCTCAATTCAAGGTGTTGAAATCATCAAGCCACATGCAAGCTTTTTCTTAGCTTCTGTAATATCAAATAAGCCCTGCTATATGTCTTGATTTACCAGGAAAGTTAAGTGTCACATTTTAGGCAAATAAAAATATTAAAATTTGACAGCTGGTAAATTATGCTAACATCTGGTAACAAATCATTCTTGACAGTTCAATAGTACACTTCTTATTGCATAGCTATTAATATCATAAACAGCAAAATGCAAAAATTATAGCACTTGACTAACATATTCCATGAAGTGATAGAAGGAATACACTGCTTATCTTAATATGTAAGAAAGTTCATCTTTTCACATCTGAGGTTTGAAGTAGATTGGAACTGAATAATTATCAACATGGATGGCATCATGCAGTGCCACAAGCTTGAAAATTTCTGAACTTGGAGTGACATGATGATACATTTACAGTATGTAAGGTGAGTAGATAGAGTAGCAAAAATAGATTGTAGCCAATAATAGAAAATTAAAATGGCATTACATGCTTAATCATTACTCATCTGGTAAAATACCACTTTCTTGGTTAAGTGGGCTAACAGTTATATATAACGGAAGTTCTAATTGGTGCTTTAAAAAGTCATTCTAGAATCCAGTAAGTGGTTAATTCCTATCTGGCTCAAATGCCTTGAGTTGGGATATGGATGTTCTCCGTTTTCACCCAACTTCTTAAAGGAGAGAAAAGAATCTTACTTTCAGCTTTTGACAGTGCTGGTTTCTACCCATAAATCACTCTCATTCACTTATAAGTGTTACCACAAAAAAGGAATAAAATACATAAAAATATAATCTTAACCAAAACTTCAATTGTGTTTATAAAACAAAAGCTGAATTGGGACTTGGGCATCTGGATTGTAGTTCTGGCTTGGTGGTATTAAAATCTCTGTCCCTCAATTATCGCAATTTTCTTTTTTCTTTTTAACTTTTATTTTAAGATCAGGGACACTTGTGCCAGTTTCTTAAATAGGTAAGCTCATGTTACAAGGGTTTATTGTAAAGATAATTTTGTCACCCAGGTATTAAGCCTATTATCCATTACTTAGTTTTCCTGATCCTCTCCCTCCTCCTATGCTCCACCTTCCAGTAGGCCCGAGAGTCTATTGTTCCACTCCACGTGTTCATGTGTTCTCATCATTTAGCTCTCACCTATAAGTGAGAAAACGCAGTTATTTGCTTTTCTGTTCCCGTGTTAGTTTGTCAAGTTAATGGCCTCTAGCTCCATTCATATTCCTGCAAAGGATATGATTTCATTCCCTTTATGGCTGTATAGTATTTCATGGTGTATAGGTACCACCTTTTCTTTATTCAGTCCACCATTGGGCATATAGATTGATTCCATGTCTTTGCTATTGTGAATAGTGCTACTGTGAACATATGTGTGCATGTGTCTTTGTAACAGAATGATTTATATTCCTTGGGTATATACCCAGTAAAGGGATTGCTGGGTTAAATGGTATTTCTGTTTTTGCGTCTTTGAGGAATTGCCACACTGTTTTCCACAATGGTTGAACTAATTTACACTCCCACCAACAGTGTATATGCCAGTACCTGTTATTTTTTGACTTTTTAATAATTTCCATTCTGATTGGTGTGAGATTGTATCTCATTGTTGTTTTGATTTGCGTTTCTCTAATAATCAGTGATGTAGAGCTTTTTTTTTCATATGTGTTTTGTCTCCATGTGTGTCTTCTTTTGAAAATTCTCTGTTCATGTCCTTTTCCCACTTGACACAGATTATAATAGCAAAGACCTGGAACCAACCCAAATACCCATCAATGATAGACTGGAAAATGAAAATGTGGCACATATACAACATGGAATACTATGCAGCCATAAAAAATGGTGAGTTAATGTCCTTTGTAGGAACATGATTGAATCTAGAAACCATCAGTCTCAGCAAACTGACGCAAGAAAAGAAAAACAAACACTGCATGTTCTCACTCATAGGTGGGTGTTGAACAAAGAACACATGGGCACAGGGAGGGGAACATCACACACTGGGGTCTGTTGGGGGGTGGGAAGCTAGGGGAGGGACAGCAAGGGGTGGGGAGGTTGGGGAGGGATAACACTGGAAGAAATGCTTGATGTAGGTGATGGGGGGATGGAGACAGCAAACCACAAAGGCATGTGTATACCTATGTAACAATCCTGCAAGATCTGCACATGCACCCCAGAACTAAAGTACAATAAAAAACAAATAAAAACGATATAATATAAAAATATTCCTTAGAAGAAATAACTGTAATACAAACGACAGAATTAAATAAATGAGCTCTTTATAACATTTCAGAAAAGCTAAATATCTAATAATAAATTCTTTACTAAAACATAAAAAAAAGGATTGTGTGGGTTTTTTTCTCATAGATTCTGGATATCAGACCTTTGTCAGATGTATAGCTTGGAAATATTTTTCCCCATTCTGTAGGTTGTCTGTTTATTCTGTCAGTAGTTTATTTTACTTTGTAGAAGATCTTTAATTAGACCACATTTGTCAATTTTTGCTTTTGTTATGATTGGTTTTGCTGTCTTCATTATGAAATCTTTGCTCATTCCTATGCCCAGAATGTTATTGCCCAGGTTGTCTTGCAGGATGTTTATAGTTTTGGGTTCTACATTTAAGTCTTTACTCCATTTGGAGTTGATTTTTATATAAGATACAATTTTCTTACTGTAAAATTAGAAGATTTAAAGAACAGTAATTCTATAGTGATTTCTATACAGACATTTCTAACTACAGAATGCATTTGCTCTTAACTTAGCTCAAACTCCAATTGAATTTAGAAAATTTAGTCAACCAGAAACTAATGGATTTAACTTGCTAAATGATAAATGTAGAGAATTTTACTTACTTGTATTTTTGTATGTATCAATCACCAAGGTCATATAACTAAGCAAAATCAATGGTAGCTCTGTTTTTTAACACTCACGCAATTTTTAAAGAAAAATACTATACCAAATACAGTATGAATTAACATAAGCATTTTACACCTTGATGAGACACACCAGGTATAAAATAATATCTCTAAAATGGTATCTTAAAAAACTATTTTATATATAGATATATTTTTGGAAGCTCCTATGTTTTGTTTCTTGGCTGGCAATAAGACTGCAGAGTTGAACATTCTAAAAATAATCAATGGCTGAGAATTCATTTGCTTTACCACATTTATAGATAATTTATGGATGATTTTTCACGTCTCTGTCACTCAAGCCTCAATTCATTTTCAAATACATGAAGTGTCATTTTAAGTATACAGTGGACTCTTAATGAAAATTTCTGTCTTTTAAATGTTTCAGAGATTTTTAACTTGGTAAGATATATCAGAGTAACCTTCATACATTTTTTATATTCTACATGCTGAAATTAAACTACATGATTTTTTTAAAGAATTTAAATTCCAAACCATATTGTTTTATTACAGCAACAGAACCTTGTGTCCTAAATCAAATGCCCTATAAAAATATTTTATTTTTACTTTTTGCAATTTTAACAAAAGCTGTTCATTTGAGTTACAAATGTCATTTTAGTAGTAGTTTTTCATTATGCATACTTGTAATTCTTTTTACTTTCTTTTTTTTTGGAAAATTTAAGATTTGCAGAAAAGAAATTACAGAAACATATACTCTTTTGTCGTTGCAGTTGAATGCTGGATTAATAGAATAGTGAATCTTCAAAGTCGACAACTGCATACTTAAACATCAGACTATAAAGTCAGCAAATTTAGTTTTATTTCACAATAAAATAAATACTTAGATTGCTTGTTTATGTAGAATAGCATCCCACTCACTCTAAACATTTTCTTCTTTGACTGAAGGGGTTACTAAATTAAGCTGCTCACTTGTGGGGAAGACCTGCTGGTTCAAATGCCGGAGCCATGGGCAATGACTGCTGAAATAGAGAAAACTCACTTTTTAAAAGAAGTTAGCAAACCTAATGGAAACTTAGTCACTGCCATGCTCTCACAGAATTGAGATTTTCTCTTGCTTCCTTCTGTTATTCACCTTTGCTTCCAGCCTGACACATTTAAAGAATTTGGGAAAGAGGCTCACTGAGAAGTGGGGGTTCCATTGCCTACTATTTCAACAGTGGAGGTGGTATGCCAAAGAAACTTGGATGATGGGTTACACTATTAGCCCATTAGATGTTACAGGATCTTTGGGGTGTCACCTTTCTGTCCAGAAAACTCTGTGGCCAGTGGTGCCTTTGTCTGAATTTTGCCTACTGGGCTCATTCTGCCTACTCAGCCTGACAGGGTGTACTCAGCTCCTGGATCCCATGTCTCCAAGGGAGACTGAGTCTGGTGTGGAGTGACGAGGGATATGTGAGCAAGCATGGGGTCTGGCCACACTATGCATTCATACATGCCAGCTGCTGCCACAGGGGTGGGCAGTTCCACGTGTTGGTATGGGCTTCAGCTCTTTGCAAAGCTGCAGGTGGACCAGGCACATAGCAGGTAGCTTCCCTGGCTGGCACCAGGGAATGCAGTCGTGCCTGGAAGCTTAGAGATGCCAGAAACTGCAGGGCTTCAAAGAGGGAGTAACAGCCCTGGCTTGGGGAGCTCCCAGGTCTGGGCTTCCTGATAGCTGCAGCTCTTTTCTCCTTCTCTTCTCCTTCAACATAGCAAGCAAGGGACATGTTTCTACCCTGTTTGTGTTACAGCTCTTTTCGCCTCGCTATTTGGCAAGTCCTGAATTTTTGTCCTGCAACCAGGAAGAATGAGTTATACAAACAAGCAAAGGGTGAACAAGATGAAGAAGAGCTTTTCTGAGCTATAGAACAACTCAATCTCTCACAAGGGCCAGTTCCTTTCCACAGCCAGGGTGTCTGTTGAAGTGTTTAGCTCCCAGCAGAGAAGGTAGCTCTGCTCTGCAGCCAGTCATCCTGTCATCCTGTCATCTGCTCCAGCTCTCAGCAGGAAGGATATCTCCTTTTTGCAGCCAGTCCTCCTTTTTGCAGCCAGTAGCTTTTAGCATAGAGGAGGCCCTGGAGTGGGTAGCTCATCTCTGCAGCTGATTGTCCCAACATCTGTTTAGCTTTTGGTTTTGCTACAATTGCTTTTGCTGTCTTCCTCCCCTCTCCGGGAGGAAGTGTGTGCCAATTGATCTATGAGCAGCCATGGGCAGGCCCAGAAAAGGTACCACAAGTTCCCATTCCACTCCAGGGGACTGGCAGCCTGGACACTAGCCTTCAGGCCATCCCTGGTCTGAAGGTGGGGCCTCACTAGGGACTGTCTGCTTCTTGCTGCCTTTCATGGCACCCAGGCTTTAGGTGTCAAGGGGCTGACAAGGGGCTCAGCTTTATGGAGCAAGACAGAGCAATGTAGTGGAGAACAGAGTTGTAATGGCTGGGGGTTAGCAATTTTAAATAGGGTGATGTTTACAGACTTCAATGAGAAGAGGGTGCCAGGGTGAAAAATCAGAAGTGAGGAGATTTCTGATTTCAGCTCTGACATGTGAAGAACTTGGAAGTCATTACTCTCATCCTTACAGTAAAAAAGGCTGAATGAACTGAAAATTAATGACTTTTCTTGGACCCATCAGACAAGGAAGGTTAAAGGGAAATCTACCACCATGAAATAGAGAGAGAGAGATGTGAATCCAGAGAGTTACAAAAGAGACCTAATCACCTGAAGTAGCAGCTGCTAGAGACGTAAACAAATTAACATCAAACAAATGAATGGTAATTTTGTCAGACTGCTGGAAGCTAAGTGTGAACTAACACGCTTATGGTGCTATGTCTAAAAACAAACCAACGAAGCAAGGTCACCTAGATTTTCTCCTGTGTTATCTTCTAGGAGTTTTATAGTTTTGCATTTTGTACTTAAGTCTCTGTCTAGAATCTTTTATTTTTTCATGGACTTCCGAGTCTTACAATACCTAGTTTTGGAAACTATTCTTTCTCCATTAAATAATTGCCTTTGTTTCTCTGTCAAAGATTAGTTGACTATATTTGTTTGGATCTATATCTGGGCTCACTCTATTCTGTTTTTTTGATCTTTTTTTTTTATTCATCCACCAACATACTCTCTTGATTACTCTAGCTATATGGTAAACCTAGAAGTCAGATAGTGTCAGTCCTCTTTTTTGTTCTTCTTCAGTATTCTGTTGACTATTCCAGGAGGTTTTTCAGTTGTTGATTCTTTTAGTTTTTAGACTTGGACAACCATGTCATCTGTGAACAAAGACAGATGATTTCTTTCTCCATCTATCTATCTATATATATATGTGTACATATATATAGAAGAAAGTGATGAGGGATGTGTGAGCAAGCATGGTGTCTGGCCACACTGTGTGCGCACGTGTGTGTGTGTGTGTGTGTGTGTATACACCTAAATTTCCTAAATTTCTTTTCTTATTTTACCAGTTATGACATTCAGTACAATGCTGATAGGAGTGGTAAGAGAGAATGTGCTTGCCTTGTTTCTATTCTTAGTAGAAAAGCACACTATTTCCCTCCAAGAAGTATGTTTGCTGTGGGTTTTACATAGATACTCTTGTCAAAATGAGGAAGTTCCCTACTATTCTAGCTTGCTGAGAATTTTTATCATGGGTGTTAGATTTTATTAAATGCTATTTCAGCATCTGTTAGTATGGCTATATGATTTTTCTTTTTAGCCTGTTGATGTGATTGATTACATTGATTTTTCAAATGTTAAAACAACATTTTGTATCTGAAATAAATCTCTACTGATTGGGGTGTAATTTTTAAATACATGATTGGATTCATTTTGCTAGTACTTGTGGAGGGTTTTTGCATCTATTTTCATGAGAGATATTGGTCTGTAATTTTTCATTCTTTAATGTATAACTGGTTTTATATGGAGAAATGCTGACCCCATAAA